TACGTGACTGTCTTGCTGAACAAGTTCTGCCCCCTTCCTTCTCCCATTTCCTGAAAACCAACCCACTGGGCACTCCCTTTCCTGATCATGCCCGTCTCCTACTTCAACAGCTCATTCTTTCTACTAAGTCACAGGTTGAAGATGCCTTCTTTACTTTCCGTCAACCTCAACGTGCTCTCTTTGTGGCTCTACCACAAGATCTCTGTAACCTTCCCTCTACCATTGCCTTTGACACTGCTCGCCTGAATACACAAATTCATTCTTCTAAACTACATAATAAACTTCAACATCTCATCTCGGCTAGCCCTTGGTCTAAATTCTCCCTCACTGACTGTGTTACTAACTTGTTTTCTGTCTCACTCTCTCAATATGAGCTTGAACTCCTTGGTTTTGGCCTTTCCTTTGCCACTTTGCCTACCCCTCGCGCTGGTATTGAACTGATTAGCTCTTTTGATTCTTTTTGTCAATCTCGGTCCCCTAATCTTCCTGATTTGTCCACTTTTCGTGGCGCTCTCCTTCCTGAACTTGATAGTCTGTTTTCTAAGAACCACCACCTTCCGCGCCATTACCAACTTGCCCTTTCTTCTCTTAAATCTAACACTAACATTGTCATACTATCTTCTGACAAAGGTAATTCGGAAGTTATCCTTCATTGCGAGGATTACCTCCGTAAAGCTGATGTCTTGCTCTCTGACTCGCGTACCTACACTCCTCTCATTTCCAACCCTCTTGATCGCATCAAGAGAACTTTCAACAAGAAGCTCAGGACTCTCTCCGACCTCTGTCCTCCTGACTTTGACCTTGTTCAACGGTTTCGTGTCATCTGTCCCTCTCTTCCCTATTTCTATGGTCTTCCCAAAACTCATAAACCTGATGTTCCCCTACGTCCTATCATATCCTCTAGAGGTTCTGTCTCTTATTGTCTTGCTTCTTGGCTGGCCAAAACCCTCACTCCCTTTCTTGGTACTTTTTCTCCTGCCCACCTCCGTCACTCCCAAGACTTCGTTGAGCGGGTTCGCTCTCTCCCGACCTGTAAGATGCTTAGTCTTGACGTTGAGTCCCTCTTCACCAATGTCCCTCTTGATGATGTCCTTGATTTTCTTAGAGAGAAGGCCCATGAAGGGTTTCTTCATCTCCCTATACCTATTGATGTCTTTCTTGATCTTATCTGCCTCTGTGTAGACTCTAATTCCTTTTCCTTCCAAGGGAAATATTATTCTCAAACCTTCGGTGTCGCTATGGGCTCTCCTCTCTCTCCTGTCCTTGCTAATCTTTACATGGAATACTTCGAGACTGTTCTTCTTCCTACCATCGATGTGCGCCCTTCACTCTGGCTCTGCTATGTGGACAACATCTTTGCTCTGTGGCCTCATGACTCCAATCTCTTCCAACCTTTTCTTGAAGCTCTTAACACTCTTGCCCCTTCCATTAGGTTTAAAGCTGAATGGGAATCTAATTCCTTGCTTCCTTTCCTTGATGTCCATGTCCACCGCTCGGATATAGGATTTTCCTTTCCCGTTTACCGCAAACCTATGCACAGTGGCATGTACATTCGCTACTTTTCCTATCATGCTTCCCGTCAAGAAAAGTGCTCTTATCTCCCTCTTCCTCTGTGCTCTCCACATCTGTGATCCTCATTTCCTTCCAGCAGAAATTTCCACTCTTCATAATTCGTTTTTCCGTCTTGGCTACCCTTCCCATCTCATAGACTCTGCCCTCTCACGTGCTAAACGTAATTTCTTCTCTCCCAAACTCTCCACTCCTGGGAACTCTTCTGTCCTCTGCCTTCCCTACATTTCCGGTCTTTCTAATCTCAGCAATTCTCTCGCACTAATCTCGTTCATACCTCTCCTCCCTCTACAGATGTTCCTGGTGTCTACCCTATTTCTTGCTCCTCCTGTCCTCTTCAATACTTTGGAGAAACTGGCCGATCTCTTTCTGACAGACTTAGGGAGCACAAAAATAGTGTTAGGCTTGCCGACACTAACAATGCTCTGTTCTGTCAGGTCAGAGATCACAGCCATCCTATAGACTGGTCTTCTGCTAAAACTGTCTTCCCTACTTCCAACTTTAACAGTCGCCGTCTTGTTGAATCCTCCCTAATACACAACTTTCCTTGTATGAATCTGTCCTGGCTTTGTCTTTGTAGATGCCTTCCTCTCCCGCTACATTGTAAAATGCTCCAAACTTCAGAACACCCGTGACTTAACCTGATTCCTCCTTTTCTTCTTCTCCCTCTTCCCTTTTCCTCTTTCCTTTTTCTTTTCTGGGTGGTCTTTCTTTCTTCTGTCTTGTGTTTCTGTTCCTTCATTACTCATTTTATTATTTTTTCCCCTCCCCGCACCTCTGTGTTCTTGCTCTTCCTCTGAGGGCACCTAGCTCCCTTGCAGTGCTCCCCTTTCTTTGTATTTGACTGGCTCCTCCTCTTTTCTTCCCCACTGCTTCTTCCTTCCATCTCTGCCACTACTACTACTATGACTTCTACTACTACTCCCACTTCTACTACTACTACTACTACCACCTCTATTACCACTACCTCTTCCTGCCTATATATAACCGTCCTGCTCCACTTCTCATTAGTGTGACTTTGTAAATGGTCCAAGTCAGACCGAAACGTCGTCGTAAGCTCCTCTCTTTTATGTGCGGGTTATTTGTGTATTGTTCCAGTCACGGTATTGTGCCTGTTTTTGTTATTCATACCTGAAGTCCTAATGGAAGGAGATTCTCCTTCCAAACAATAGTGTACACCTTCCTCCTATCCCCTCCTCCCGTCTTCCATCCACCCAGAAGTCTTCAGTATAGGTAAGTGTAATGTTATTATTATTTTTTTAAATGCATGTACTTGATTTCTGATTGTTTTCAGTATGTAAATCTTTATTTAATTTGAAAAAAAAATATTTTATTTTAATATTTTTGGGTGTCTGAAACGGATTAATTTTATTTTCATTATTTCTTATGGGGAAAATGGTTTCGAGTTTCGTGAATTTCGACTTTTGGCAGGCTCTCTGGAACGGATTAATCACAAAACTCGGGAGTCCACTGTACGTATATACACAACGTGTCCCTCCAAACTGCCAATATCCCAAACTAAAAAAATGGAAGAATACAAAATGTATCGCATGTACACGTGGAATATTTCTCATTGGCTGGTAAACAATGGCACACTGGCTGTACATGGAGTGTCGGGCCGCTCACGTCGCACGGACATGTTTAGAATGAATGACTGAGTTCAGTGTCGTTAACTGAGCCAATATTTTGACGCAAAAACATTACTTAATCCGATGACGTCTTAATCCGGGGTTCCACTGTATTTTCTACAGAAGGGGTTACTAGCTTAGTGCTCCCGGCAACGTGTGTATTTGTATGTATGTGCATGTCTGTGTAGTGTGACCTAAGTGTTAAGTAGAAGTAGAAAGATATACCTGTTATCCAGAGTGTTTATGAGACAAAAGAGGGACACCAGCAATCCTACCACAATGTGAAAAGTGTTATAGTAACTCAGATTGTGTAGCTGTGATTTGTTTCTATTTGTTTCCTTCAATCTGGTCAAGAAATAGTAATTTTTCTATAACTCCTAACCCAAAATTAACTCAATGGAAAGCCTTGTGTGACTGAGGCTTTGTCCCTTATAATCTGGATAATCAAATTTTTATTTCTGATTTATGGGCTTGTAACAATTGCTTCAGTTACAATCCTTATCAGACTGTGTGATGATTCTCTCTCATGCTTATCCTCCTGGTGCAGATACTGTAGTATGTACAGTAAAACTTCATTAAAAGAATTTGCAATTTTGGACAAAATAATCAGCTGGACAAATTCTGTAAGTATTTGACAAAATGAATGAAAGTCCATAATTCCACATTTCTGTTTTCAGCGATAGTGCCTAGTTGTCATCTGAATTACTGAGCCAAGCTCGTTAAGTACAAATGACATCACTGACGAAAGTAAAGCGAAAGCCCATTACCCACTTACGAATTCTTAGAGAAGGAATCATAAGGGACCATCAACGTGGGACACAAGTGAAGCTAGATACATCCTATGAACCCATTCCTCTTTCAAAATATAAACCACGTACATCTTTTCCGCCATCTACATCACAGCCACCTATGTCTTGTCAGCCATCTGCATTTTCTTAGCTACCTATGTTTTATCAGCCACCTATGATTCTCAGCCATCTGTGTCTTCTCAGCCACCTACGTCTTTTCAGCCATCTGCATCTTCTCAACCACCTATGTCTTCTCGGTCATCTATGCCTTGTCAGCCACCTACGTCTTTTCAGCCATCTGCATCTTGTCAGCCACCTATGTCTGTTCAGCCATCTAGGTTTTTCAGCCATCTGTGTCCTCAGCTGCTTACGTCTTCTCAGCCATCTGTGTCTTCTCAGCTGCCTATGTCCTCTCAGCCACCTGCATCTTCTCAGCCATCTGTGTCTTCTCATTTGCCTATGTCTTCTCAGCCATCTGCATCTTATCACCTGTCTGCCTTCTCAGTCACTGGCATCTTCTCAGCCCTGGTTGTCTGCTGAATCAGCAGACCAGGTCCACTACTTCACAAGACAACCAGACGTTCATGAAATACAGCCTCTCCTCACTTAGCGACATACTCGTTTAACAACGACTCTGGCTTACAATGGGCTCTCTGACCAGTCTGCATACCTAAATAATGTATATTAGAGCTGATTTCCTCTATTCTGTTTATTACAATACACTGTATACTACTGTATAAACATTTAAAAATATACTAAAAATATTATAAATAGTGCAAGGGCGACATTAAAGCAATATCAAAGATGGTTGACATAAACCCACTACCATTACGGTATGCTCCTCATTTAGCAACGAATTCATTTATCAACCTGGTACTAGGAATGGAACTCTGTCATTAAGTGAGGAGAGGCTACGTACGTATTTACTTTGCAATTTCCTTCCCTATATTAGTCCATTAATGAGACGTTTCACTGTACTACACAATTTCACAAAAATTAACATAAATGCACTTACTTAGTCCTTGACATAAATTCTTCATACAGGTAACGCTGCCTCTTTGATAACCTACACATTACCACATGTTCAAACTTTTTGGGCATCTGTTGTTCCACTTCAGTCTTCAGTCTTCTCAATATGAAAGGCCTTAAAACCTGGAAGGCAAATATTTTAGTTAATGAAAATATATTTTAGGATAATTTTTAAATGTCATAATATATCAAATACCTAGGAAAGCTTGAAAACTTGTACTGAAGAGGCATTCATTTAATTTATTTTATTTCTAACAATGTCAGGTTTCTCATCATCCAGTCAAAGGCAGATGCAGTTTCCTGCACTTCTTACTATCTTAATACGTACATGTGAAACTCTTCTCTAATGACACCCTTCACATACACATGGGGGAGGAGCTATAACTCAACCCCTGCAACCACATGTGTGAGTACACTCATGTACATCCCTCCTACCTTGTTGTCAGTAATCCATATCCTATCAAACATAATACCAAGCAGTGGTTCTGCCCATCTCTCTCCAAGACAAAATAACAGCCTTACCTGATTAATCCACAATAAAATACAGCTGAAACCTCCATTTTAATGAGCGATTTTTCTGGCCCCTACCCATAACTAGTCAACCGTTAAAACTTTCATACTGTACACCAACATCCCCACCAAACCTTAAGACTGTAGGCACTGTATTTCCCCACCTCCCAACATTGGCATCACCTTGCTCACACTCCAACAGCCTATCAAATCTCAAAAACCTTTGTCTTCACTCACTCCAATTCAACATGCTCACACATACATGCTGGATGCTCACACCCACACTGCTCAAATTTTCATTCATTTTTTTTTTCAACAAGTCGGCCGTCTCCCACCTAGGCAGGGTGACCCAAAAAGAAAGAAAATCCCCAAAAAGAAAATACTTTCATCATTCAACACTTTCACCTCACTCACACATAATCACTGTTTTTGCAGAGGTGCTCAGAACACAACAGTTTAGAAGCACATACGTATGAAGATACACAACATATCCCTCCAAACTGCTAATATCCCAAACCCCTCCTTTAGAGTGCAGGCTTGTACTTCCCTTTCAGGACTAAATCGGCTATTTAAAAAAAACCCGGTTTCCCTGAATCCCTTCCTAAATATTACCTGCTCACACCCCAAACAGCTCGTCAGGTCCCAAATACCATTCGTTTCCATTCACCCCTATCGAACCCGGCTCATGCACCCCTGCTGGAATTCCAACCCCCCTCACCCCAAAAAATACCTTACTCCTTCCTTCCAACCTTTTGAGGATGACCCCTACCCCCCCTTCCTTCTCTACAGATTTAAATCTTCCATGTCTTCTACTTTGATCCTTCTCTCTAAATAAAACCACCTCAAAAACCCCCCTTTTAGCCTCTGATAATATTTTTATTAACCCACACCTTTCCTAATTTCCACACTCCGAATTTTTGATAATATTTACCCCAAACATTCCCCTGACGGCATCCCATCCCCCAACCCCTCCCGCTGCTGCATTCAAAACCCAAAGTTCCCCCCATATAAGGTTTTAGTCCCTACTATATTTCATACATTCCCTTGTTTCCCTCCATGTTAATGTTTTTTTGCCCCCCAATATCTCAATGCACCACTCACCTTTTTTCCCTCTAAATTTTATGATTAACCTCATCCTTAATAACCCCATCTCCCGACACGTCAATCTCAAGTATCTGAAAACATTCACTTTTTCCCATACTCCTCCCCCCCAAATTTTGTTTTCCCAATTTTTTTTTTACTTTTTTATTTCACCTGGTTTTCCCCCCAAGGCAGGGTGGCCCCAAAAAAAAGAAAAACTTTCACCTAATTCCTCCATCACTGTTTGCCGAAGGGTGCTTTAAACTACATTTTTTAAACTGAACATTAAACCCCCCCCTTCAGAGTGAGGCACGTTTCCCCTTCCCCGGGACTCAGTCCGGCCTCCCGGTTTCCCTGAACCCTTATAAATGTTTTTTGTCCATCCAACAGCCGTCAAGTATTAAAAAAATTTGTTCCTTCATCCATAAAAAAGCTCACGATGCCTGTGGAAGCAAGCCCCCCCCAAAACAAAACCCCCTTTGCCCCCCCCAACCTTTCCCAGGAGACCCCTACCCCCCCTTCCTTCCCCTACAGTGATACACTTTGAAGTTATTCTGTTTCGCTCCTTTTTCCCTGTCCCAACCCCCCCCCAAAACCCCTTCCTCAGCCCCCTGGAAAACTTTTTGGAATCCCGCCCCTCCCCCAACTTCCAAATCAATTTTTGTTTTTTTTAACCCACCCCCTGCAGACCTCCATGTACCTTCTCTCACAAATCATAATTCCCCCCCCCCCAAAAACGGGAAAAATCCTTCTAACCTTTTTTCCCCCGGAAAAACCCTTTTTCCACAACTTAATGCCCCTCACTTTTTTCCCTATAAATTCATGTTTCATAATTTTTCTTACCCATCCGCAACCCCACCCCCCTTTTTCCCGTTACCTTCCATCCTCTCCCCCCAAAAGATTTACTTAAAACTTCTTTTTGTTTTCCTAAACCCTTACCCCTTTATTTTTTTAATTTTTCTTTTAAACCCCTCCAAATTTCCCCCCTCTCTAATTTCTTTCAAATCTCCCAAAAAATTATCCCCAAAAAATTTTTCCTTTTTCCCTTTCCTTTTTCGGCTATCAGCCCTGCAAACCCCCATCCTTACCTCCCCCCTTCTTTTATTAAAAAAATTCCCAACCACCCAAAAACTAATCCCCCTGTTTTTAACATTTTCTTTACCCCATAAAACCCGGTGCCTTACCCTTTCATTTTCCCTATGCCCGGAATTTTCCCCCACCTCACAACGGCCCTTTTCCTCACTCCTACAAGTGTTTTTCCCCCTTGCCCCAAAACACAAATCAAGTTTCCCCTATCTTCATCAACTTTTAACAATTCCCCAATATTCCCCCCATCTTCCCAATACCTCTAACTTCCCCCTCTTTTTTAACTGCAAAACCATTTGTTTCCCGGGGTTTTTTAAATTGTTAAAACTCACTCAAAAATTTTTTTTTTTTTCAACAAAAAATTTTTTGTTAATCTCACCCCCTTCCTCTTTGCTCTCTTTTTCATTGCTTTCCCACTCCTTAACCTTCTCTTTTTCTCCATTCTCTTCCTCCTTGCATACTTCATTTGAAAAAATTCCAATTTCTAATTTTTTTCCCCCATACTCTCTTTTCATCTCTTCACCAATCGCTCCTCTTCCCTCCGCACCCACTTTCCGTAACCAAACTTCTGTGAAAAACCTAACATACATTTTTAAACCCACCCCCCTACCTCTTTGACCCCCTTGCCTTGCTCTATTAAACCCCTCTATCCTCCAATAGCTGTTATACTTACCCAATGCCCCCTTTTAGTTTATAAAAACCCTTTACCCCATTAAAGATTTATCTTTGCCAACTTTCTGTATGGCATTCTTAATATTAGTTTTAGAATGGCTGCAATGTGCCTTTTGGGAAAGGTTTGGAGGGAAAAGTTTATACTCTAAAAGGACATTGCTCACAGGTATGCTTCCGATCCTTTGCCACTTAAATTTTGTGTTTGCTTTTTTTTGGTGTTAAACTCCCCAAAACCCAAAATTTTAGTGTGGTCCCAAACTCATTTGGGTTTTCTCTATCAACAAAAGTATTCAATACACACCCCTTTACTAGAAAAATTTTTTAACAGCTAAAGAAAGCAAATTTCAAGCAACCCTCTTACAAAAAAAAGCTAGTTTCAACTGGCTAAAGAGAGATAAAGCTGCAAAAGGACTGTAGAACTCTTGTAGAAATTATAAAATATTGTGTAATCTTTTTATGATGGGTCATTGTACTCCTTGTTCCCCTCAATCAGCCCGTCACTGGATTAGAAAAAACCCTTCACGAAACTCCGGGGAGAGGCAAAAAATTTTGGGATCAGGAAGGCTCAGGACCGGCTCCTCAATTGTTTTGAAGTGGAGGCCCCTAAATATAAGGGTCTGGTAAATTGGAAAGTTAATAATGTCATTAATAAAATTATTTTAATAACTTAACCCTCCTAAGAAATTTAAAACAATATTGCTGTATTAAAATCTTCTTACAATAAATTGCTATAATGCAAAGAAAAAAAATCTGCCAGAAATGCAGTGTGTATCACAGTAAACCACATGCAGATCGAGAAGTCAAAAAAGTAACAATAGTATCAATAATGTATGCTGTGTGTATGCTTAATAATTGGGAATGGGATAAATCATGTGGCCTATACATGTCGATAATTAACCTGTTCCTACCCAAAAACAAATGCTAAAGCACTGAAAGAAAACAAGGTTAATAACAGAAAAGTACGCTGAGGTCAGTGGTCACCTGTGGTCATACCTGCCTAAGCTCTTGGGAGTTAGTGTGGGCTGTTACCAAGCACCATAGTTTGTTGTAGTGTTTTAGAATCTCAGGTTCAAGTGTTGAAGGAGATTCTACTTCTTAAGGAGGAAAATAGGAGGCTGAAGCTTCGCATAGATGAGTTTGGGAGCGAGTGTGAGAAGGATTTAGCTGGTAAGGAAGGAATGGTCACCAGCAGTGATAGTGGCAACCACTTGAAGTGGCAAGTGGTTCACAGTTCAGGAAGAAGAAAGATGAGGAGAGTTAACAGAGAAGATGTGAAGGTAGGAAATCGATTCTCTGTTCTCCAAGAAAAGTGTACTTCAGTGGCTAGTGAGGTTGAAGGTACCATTGATTCCCCTGCTAATCAAGGTAAGAATATTTTAATAGTAGGCGATTCTCATGTAAGATATATGGACCGTGCATTTTGTAACAGAAACAGAAAGGTCAGACAAAGAGTGTCTTCCTGGAGCTGGTGTTGGTGACATAGTCAGCAGGTTGGATAATATTATGGGAGGTAATGGGAACAAGCCCATTATCTGTCTTAGTGCTGGGGATAATGACATTGGGAAGGGCAGGAGAGAGGAGCTGCTGGATAAGTACAGGTTAGCCATAGAAGTAGTTAGGTCTAAGGGAGGGATCCCAGTCATATGTAGCATCTTGCCTAGAAAGGGAGTGAGCAATGAATGGATGTCTAGGGCAACTGGTATAAACTGCTGGCTAGACGGGTACTGCAAGGAACTTGCAATCCCATTCATTGATAACTGGGACCTATCCTTTGGCAAACGTGGTATGTATGCAAG